CACCGTATACACGCTATATAAACCTAAAAAAAAATTACTCCTCTTGTCTCACCTATTCACATCTCACCGTCCGTCTTTCCCTCCTCTCTCTTTCATTCCTCCTTCTGCACCCTTTTCTTTTCTTACTTTCCTTCCCAAATCCCTAATCCGAGCTAGATCTTTATCGTCGTCGCTTGTCTTCAAGTCTGAATCTAACACGAGCGGCGTGATTGAAGCTGGATTCGAGCTTTTCTCCTGTCTCCTAGCCACTTTGTAGCGGTAGTTTCCATGGCGAACACCACCACCGCAACGCACCGCCTCTACCTCCCAATTCCTACACCCAAGTACCCACCTCCTTTAAGATCCCAAAAAAATCCACTGAAGAGTAACCAAGTGCCGGCCGACCTGACTATTGAACTCCCAATACCCCAAAGCCGTGAAGTCCATCTTGGTAAGTCTAGTTGGATTAGTGTTTTTGTTTTTATTTCTTTTACACACTAGGTTTGTCTTCTTGACGTCTCATTTTATCTAGTTTATTTATGTATGAATTAGTATCTGGCCCTCTATTATTTTTCTCCTTCTTTGTTAAAGATATGAAGGTTTATTCTTGACCATCTTACAGATTCATGATATTTAAGTGTGGGCTTCTGAATGTATTAAGTCTGCCAAATTTGAAGTTTACCCGGACTAAATTGCTCATTTTGATTTCAACTTGTGTCTTATCCTATTGCCTACCTCATTCTTGCAATATATTCATGGCCTTGTGCGTATAGTTAGAATTTTGTATTGTTCAAATGGAATGACAACACAATAACACATCGTTGGCACTTGGCAGTGTGTATTGCCTACTTTGTGCAGTTTAACAGTAGTAGTATTTCTGTCATCATTTGTAGCTCCTAGAATGAGGATTTTAGTTGCATTTTGTGATGCATCCAAATATCCAGTCCGTTTAGGCTTTAAACTAGTGCCCGTTGGTAAGTTTTATTTTTGGCTGAAATGATGTTGCTAATCCGGCTAAGTTTTTAAGAGAAATAAAATTTGGTAATGTCCATTTAAGCTAAATAAGCAAGTCAGAATCTACTTATTCTCCTTATAAGTTAAATAAGCAGGACAAGGCTACCATAGAGGGTCTTATCGGGAACTTTTGTTGGGATTTCTCAATTTCTTATATGAACAGGGCAGAGTTATCTTCATCATCTTTGTCCACAATTTCCAGTTATGCTATGACAACCAGCTGCACTACTTTATCCAAAACTTATACAGGATGCTCCAGGAGGGTTAACGAAACAAGAAGCTGATGAATTTTGAGAAAGGGGTAAAAATTGCTTTCTATATGCAAATTAGGTATTATGCAAGTTTTCACGCATTCTTATATACTCCCTCAGTCAACCTTCCCCAAAAAGCAGTATTTTACTCTTCTACATTATCACTCCTACTGTCTTTTTTAAATTTTATCAATCCAACCTCTCTGATGACACATTACAGATCAAAGAAGAATGAATATCAAAGAGGCAATGATGATGAGCCTTCATAGATGACGAGTCTCTTTATATATTTGATCAAGACATGTGATCAGATTATGGCATACAATGGATTCAAAAAGTCAAGTATGAGGGGTTTAAAGCCAAGCATAGCCGAATACTTCATTCTTGCAGTTAGTTATATTGTAAAGTGTATGTTTTGCATGTATTAAGAAAATGACTTTGGATTTTTTTTTTGAAGGAATTGAAGTTTTGGTATTAATACATGTTGTAAGTTGATTGAAAAATTAAGTTGTTATGTATACTTAGTTTGGTGATTTGTTATAGGTAATTTGTCTACACATAGACAAAATAAATAAACATATAAAAAATAAATGAACAAGTAGATAATGCTTTAACCATTCACAAATAATATAAAAAATACACAGGAAAATTATTTTCTGCCCACAAGACAAAATAAATGAACATAAACAATGTTTCAACCACACACAATGACACAAACAATTGACAAAATAAATGAACATAAAAACAATATTTTAGCCACACACAGACAATATAAACAAACACACAGACGATTACTTTCTATACACATAAAATAAAATTACCAAATACATACGCATTAATAAGGTAACATACTGAGTAAAGAACATTACTTTAAAAGTGACTATTACAAGAATTAAATATTGGTTATCTTGTGTTTTGAACCTATTACAAAGTAACTTTACCATGTAAATATTGGTTAGCTTGTGTAATAGACATAGTAATGACAACAACAAATATAGCGTTCTTCATGTTGTCGCCTGACCATCGTTGCCTTTTCCTGACCAAACTGCAAGGAATCAATGAAAATTAAAAGAAATAGTAAGATGGTAATGAAGAAAAATTTGAGTAATAAGAACATAATTGTTTTACATAAAAAAGAAAATAAGTTTATTAACAACACTTCTAAGACTCTACTTTCCCATAATCTCCCTTTTTATCTCAAATAATTAAATAAGATATAAGTGGACCATTTAACTTGAACTAAAAAGAGAAAGAAAAAAGATATAAAAATCACTAACCCAAAAACATTTAAAAGAAAAACTCAAAAACAAAGGTTGTAGAGTGGAGCGTAGCACAAAGATCATTGTATAAGTTTCTACTGATTAGCACTTAGGTAGCAAGTAATTTTTGTTACCAAGTAACTAATTAAGCTTACCCACGAAAGTTTAGAGCGACTCTATTATTAAGGACTATAATTCCGCCACAAACTCAACATGATGATGCATCATCAATTTTTAAAAATCAAGATTTAAATGAATTAACATTTAACAAATACTTCACTTGCATGAGTACTACTAGAAAATATATGTGTCACCCGTGTCCCAAAGAAAATTCTTCTTATCACAAAAAGACCATGTATTACCTGTACCACAAAGAAATCTCTTCTTATCCAAAGACAACAATGTAAATATAATTCTTTATAAATCGAGTATAGAAATGAGCAGCAAACTAATTTATATAAAGTAGCTTAAAACACTTAAAAACATAAAGAAAGGTTGACTAAACAAACTAAAGTTTAAAATTAAATTAAAGTGATAACCTTTCTTGTGGATATCACTTGTAGTTCATAATGAACCTCTAAGACTGTGTTTAGGACCTAAACATTCATTTCTAAACATTCATTTCTATAGGTCGTCTCAACTTATTTGGAGCAACCTCCAACAAAAGAAGAACAAATCAAAATTTCTAAGCACTTCTAAACAAAATACAAAGTGCAACCTGCAAGTGAAACTCACAAAAGCTTTAAACAAAGTTGAAGTGATCTTAAAAACTGCCTGTCGAGCTTTAAACATACCTCAATTTTAGCATTTTACACTTATATAGTTTTTTTGCCATTATTATGGCCCCATTCATATTGTATACATAAATTAAGCATGAACAACAAGATTAAAGATTAATTAATGTTTTTATATCCAATTGATACTTACAAATAAAATAGTCAAAAATAAACATATAACACGCATTAAACTGTAAATATAAAAAATTAAATCCCCATTAAACATAAAAGCACATACAAAAAACTTCTAAGATATGAAAAAAATCATTCTAACTTTGAAATACAATAGGACTTGAATTTCAATGGTTTACATCATAAACCTATATCAAAGAAACAAAATAGTCAAGAATTCAACCTCATAGAATGTATAATTTACTAAATTTGGAAAGAACAAAAAAAAATCGAACCCTATATGAACATAAAAATGGAGTAGATAATTACCCTGATTTTGAAATCTAGGATTGGAATCTGACCCAAATTTAAATCCGATCTCCCATTCTTTCCAAATGCGGAACTTTCTGTCTCTGATTATCCTTCGAGCGCCCAACATGGATTCAATCTCAGGAAAAAGCGCATCAAGAAGCAAATATATGGAAGATGGCAAGGTAGTAAATTTGCTCGAAGAAGAAAGAGGAGCATAAGTTTTTATTTATGTGGCCAAAAATTTGAGAGGAAAAAGAAGAAGAGAAAATGGCGTAGATGAGAAGAAGAAAGAAAGAGAGGAAGGGGAGGGGAGTGAGGATGAATCGAGGAGAGCAAAGGGAGAGAGTGGCCTGGTGGGTAATTTTTTTTAGGTATATATAGGGTGTATATGGTGGGTATTAGAATGTTTACAAATAGCAAATTTGAATATTAAATTAAAAATATATTTTCTCTTAATAAAATAAAGAAATAAATATATGTAAAATAGTTAAAATAGTCCCTATAATAATTTCGGCTGAAACAGTCAGAAAAGTAACTTCAACCTTATTTTTTCTTATTATTACACATTTCAGCAGGCCAAAACAAAAGTTACGTGTTTGGTGAAAAAGTCGGATAATAAGCCGAATAACACTGTTACCAAACGGGCTCTCATAATAACACAAATGTTCGTCCACAGTGACTTTTAGCCTTTCATTAGGTACAATATCATCAAGATTAGGGAGGAAAGAATATTTATGAGGTACAATAATCATATGGACAATTATATAGTCCATCTAAACACTTGCAAATTGCAATTCTAAGGCTCTTAAAATTATTTGATTACTCTTTATCCGTGCTGCCATGTTTTGGTTGGCATATTAATATATTATGTTCACACGTACTTGAAGAACGTGCACTTCCTATTTCTCAAAATTACCTCATGCACATAACTTTAGAATAGACATCAAATTATGTTTAAGATGAGGCAAATGGAAAATAGATTCTAATTGAAGAGGAGTGAATTTCCCCCACCAAGGGAGCTTGAGCGCATCAAGAAGATGCAATCGCACAAATTGAATAGGAAGCTACATGACAATCATATTTTGGAATTCTCAAAACATTGTTACATCTATTTTGGGAATGTTCCCTTTCCTTTTTTATTTATAAGTTTAATTAAGTAACCTACAATTCTTGCTTATGTCCTCCTACAGTTCATTCTTCATTTCCGTATAGTTGTTGACTTGTTTCCAATCATCACAACTTTTTAGTGATGAAGCATGCCTTGATGGAAATGTTATATGCGAAACTGCGAACAAATTAGATAATATAACTTTGTATCCATGAAGGCTAAAAGTTACAATCTGGATTCAAATTTTCATGATATGAGTTACATCATAAGATGAAGAGACATATTAGAACATGTCGAAATGATCTGCAGTTTTGAACTTTCACTGTGATATGCTTATATTTTCATTGCTGGCTAATCTCATTCCGTTAAACCAAAGCTTACCTAGTCACCTGCTTACCCTCCTTCCTCTCTGTATGGCAGAACCCGAACCTTAATTGGTCATACTATGGTTTTGAAAGGTGAAGCCGGCCTCTGTATAGCTTGTTGGCTTCAAAAGAAACACATCCAAACACCCTCTAGAGTTGTAAGTAGATTGTAATAGCTTGGTTGAAAATCTACAATTCCACCCTTTTAGAAACATAGCTGTTATGAAGATTTATTAGTTTAAACATGTTTGAACTTTAAACACATTCTACTTCTTTCTGAATGGCTTTTTGACTAATAGTTGGTTTTCATCATCTGTTTAGCTTTTTTCTTCAGAAGGTATTTCACAACATATATAGTTGGTGTTCAAAAAAGAAGTAGAATGAGTTTTGTTAATATTTGGTGAATCTTTCTTCACAAAAGTAAATCTTTTTTCATCATCTGTTTAGCTTTTTTCTTCAGAAGGCTTTTTTCTTGAGAAGGTATTTCACAACATATATCATTTTACCAAATATTGTAAAATGAGTTTTGGTGTCATCATCACATTAAACAAAAAACAACAACAATGAAGTGCCAACAACAAATACTGGCCTATTTATCAAATGTCTAACTTGCCAAGTTGCCATGCCACTAACAATTGCAGAAACCCTTATATTGGTCTGCTCTGCCACTTCCTTGATGTAATCAGAGACCTGGTTAAAATGTAACACTTTTAACGAATCAAAAGCATCCTGTATACCTCACGCTGTCACATTTAACTACACACAGTAGTGTATCGAGAAGGGGGGCTAGGGCGCTCACCCCCTAACTTCAATGAATTCCTATAAGAGCACAATCTGTAATTCAAACTGAGCTAGGAGCATTTCAGCAAGCTATCAAATGGACGGTGGTAGCTGGGTACAACAACTCCAACTTGGAATCTCACTCCTACTTTCATTCAATCTGGAATCGTCAAGAAATCATCTTTCATTCTTTCCCTTGGCTGTGGGGGGTGAACTTCTTATGGTTGCAGTAGATTTCTTATGGGGTCTCGGTCTCTAACCAATATGTAGTGCTGTAGTGGGGTATCTATCATTGGAGAGGGAGGAACCCTTTGCAAATATGCTATGCATAGAGACTCTTGTGTGGAGTAGAAGAAAAAAAAGGCATTAGTGCAACAGTAATAGAAAAAAAGGTATTAGCAGCCTGGGAATGCAGCTCTGTCTATAGTAGTTAGTAGCGTTGGAAGACATTGTCATTCTCTGATTTTTATCCAGAATTTAGAGCAATGTGATGACTGCTTCAATCACTTTTGCCCGTTTCTAGAGAGAAGCTAATTCAGTTGCTGCTTATGAAAGATTAGATTATAGTTTTAGAGTTTACTTTAATACTTGTAGTCTTCATCAATCTGTTAAGGGTGGACGTGGTGGTTTAATGTCAGATTTCATTAATAAAATCCTCATTTATTAATATGCACATATTCATATCCATACATGTGAATAAAAAATTGTTAATCGATCCCTAAATAAAAGTCATTTAATTATCACTCGTTTTAGATAATTTATTTTGATTTATAGCATTTTATACTTATTATTTATGTTGATAACTATAGTTTTGCAATGTTACAAATGTGTTAATTTTGCCCCATCCACCAAAGTTCTTGACACACTACTGACTGCTCAAGCTCTCATGTCAATAAATTATGTTATTGAACAATCCCATTTGTTAAGATACAAGTTCAGTTATAAGGTTGTCTAATGCATTATTTTGAGCACAAGAGTCCTTGACTATAGCTTCCCATGAATCAAAATCAAACATCTTTTTCCTCTTAGCCATTACCTCAAAAATGAAGGACACGTCATCAACATTCCCAAGGTCAAATAACCCCACTACTAAACGACGAAGTGTTTCACTTCGTGGAAAGTGTCCGCTTGTTGACATTGCATTGAAAACCTTCAAACCTTCTTCGAATTGTCCCGCCTTACAGAACCCATCAAACACCATTCTGTAAGTAATGGCAGCCGGTTTGCAACCAGCAATCTGCATTTCAACTAAAACTCTGTAAGCCTCAACAGCTCTATCTTCTCTGCAATAATAACCAACAAACACATTGTAGATCGAAGCATCGGGCTTGAAATGCCTTTTCTTCATCTCGACCAGCAAACTTTTTGCCTCTTCTATCTTGCCTTTCTTCCCAAGATCACTCATCAAAACACCATAGTTGACAATCCGTGGTTTACACCCTTGGTAATCCATATCAAACATTAACTTCCGCGCATCCTTGTACTTTCCTAATAAACACAAACCTTCCATCAGTAAAGCATAGGTGACCTCATTTGGCTTCTTCCCTTTCCTAACCATATCCTCGAACAAACGTTTTCCCTGTTCGAACTCACCCCTCTTACACAAGAACCCGATTTGAGTATTGTACGTCACGACCGTGGGCTCAACTTCTTTGTCAAGCATTTCATCAAACAGTTGGCGGGCGCTTTCAGGTTCGCCCTTCTCAAGATACATCTTTATCAGGATATTGAAGGAAACGGAATTCGGACGAAACCCCAAACTAGAAGAACCCCTGAACATGTCATCAGCTTCCCAATACCTCCCATTCTCCACCAACACATTGAGCAGCGCGTTGAAGGACTGCAGTGAGCGGAGACAGTTAAAAGACACCTTCATCTCGTGGAAAAGACGAATCGCCTTGTCAACCAGCTGGCATTTTCCGTAGTGCCCGATCAACCCGATGAAGAGGGTCTCTCTGCAGCGGATATTGTAAGCTTTAAGGCGATCAAGAAGCGTGTCCACTGCATCAAAGTTTCGATTTTTAGCGAGTCTGTAGATTACAGAAGAGTAGGAAGGGTAGTCATGCTTGAAACCCATTTTCTGGTAATCGTGGAAGAGGGAGAGGAGATCATCTGGGACACTGGTTTTTTTAAGATCCGCAAGGAATGGAATTGGCTTGCGCTTGAAGGCCGTCCTCCGTAGCTCTGGGGGCGGGTCTGAGGCGGGTTTCCTGTGAGGATAACGGCAAGTGTGATATGATTTGGAGCTTGAGGGATTGGAATTGCAAGAATTGATGTTTGGGATCCTAAACTTGAGGTGTTTCAATCGTAGATTGATCATGGAGGCCAATCTCACTGAGTGTATAGTTGAGTTGAAGTGCTGCGTTCATGGAGTCTGAACTTTTAAGTTGTCGACTTGGCGGCACTCCAAATTTATACGGAGTATTGGAATATTATTTTCAGTTTTTTCTTTGTAGAAATTCTTTTCACTAAATTTATACGGAGTATATAGGTGTGCAAATCCACTAAAATCAAGCTAGGGCTTGATATTATATTTATAATCTTTATTTGTTTTCTCCACCTTCATTTATTTGAGTACACCATATTATATTTTGTTATGTCACTTTGAATTTGATAGATGTGTTGTAGGTTTTTCAGGAGAGATTAGGAGTGTAGAGACTAAAATAATTGGGTTTTGCATGATTATGAGTGGCGGTTGTGATGTCTAACGATGGTTATTAATGAGTAAATTCCGTGGATAGGACTAAATAAGTGAAGAATTGCATAAATAGGAGTCCACTTTTTAATAGGAGTAAAAACAACATCAATTGACCAATTTGTCCTTGAAAATTAGAAACTCCAGCTGAGCATCTCATCGGCAATCATACGAAGCGGCTCACCAGACCCCATGGGGTACCTGCTGCAGCCATCTCCTCCTCCATCGGATGCCAGAGATACGTCGGCCCTGCCAGCATCCCGCTGCTGCCGCCGGTCGCCGGAGATCCGGCGACGTAAAAAAAATCCCAGAACTTTTCCTCCACCGCCTCTCTGCCACCGCCGCAAAAATTAAAGATAAAGCTCATAAATTTTCTTTCCTCCTCGGGAGCATTCCCTCTCCATTTAAAAACAAAATACTCTGTATAATCTTCTCCCAATTTTATTTAATGGTTGACTCTTGGCATGTAAAAAAGCAGATCTATATAGTTGTAGTTGGCTCACTTGGCTGTAATAAATTTTTATTAGGTCATGCGTAATAAATATTTTAGCTAGGGCATATTAAATTGGAACGGGTTAATAGGTCTTAAAAATTCCAGAATTATTTACTTTGTTGGATAAATTGTAATATGTATGTATGAGTACTGGAAAGGAGACATCAATTTGAGAGTTTAATGTCATTGATGTTGTCATACACTATTACTAATATTAATGTTATATTGCCATTTTTAACAAGAATATTATTGCCATTTATAATTAGAGCAATATTGCCATTTTTAACAAGATTATTATTGCCATTTTTAATTAGAGCAATATTGCCATTTTTAACAAGATTATTATTGCCATTTTTAATTAGAGCAATATTGCCATATGAATGTATTTAGTTCCAAAAAGTAGCATTATAGGTCAAAAACATTTCCAAAAAAAATGGCACTACATGTCATAATGATATATACCTTCTTGCTAAAATGACATTACCTCCAAATTAAAGTTCATTAGTTCAAATCAGTGGTATGTCATTTTTTGTCAAAATAACATTTAGGGATTAAATAAGATGGCATTATTAGCAAAATCAAAATTAAATTTAAAACTAATAAAAAATCGAAAAAAAAATCAATCAAATTGTTCACGATATGATTAAAATAAAAAACTAATACAACCCAGAAACATTATAAATTTGATTGAAGTCAATACAAAAATTTGAGTGGGGAAGATGAAGAAGAGAAAAAGAGAAGAAGAGGAAGAGGACTGAACTTATCAACCTCAAACTCAGCTGCCCGCCGCCCGCATCCCTTCGCCGCCACCCGCCGCCCGTATCCCTTCGCCGCCACCCGCCGACGGCAAGAGATGTTGAGAAAATTCACCACGTAAACTTCTGTAACCCGTCGGAAATGAGGTGAAACTAGAATTGAGATAATAAATTGAAATTGAGGTTCATAAAAAATAGAATGGAAGAAGATTGGAATAGAGATTCATAAAAAATAGAGTTGGAGAGGAAAGTCAAAGTGGAGGGATGGGGAGAGATGCGTGACGAAAGAAAAGAGAAGAAAGTGACGAAGAGATGAGACGTGATGGGAGGGGGGGAGAAAGAGAACAAAGGTGGGGAAAAGAAAGGGAGCAGCGACTGGGGATGGGAGGTGGTGCGGTGCGGAACTACGTACTGGAAAATTAAAACGAGGGCAAGATAGGGATAAAAGTTAAGAAAGTCCTATTTCGGCAACAAAAAAATATAAGGTCCTATTCTTGCATTAGTCTTCTATTTTAGTCCTATTTGGATCAATTACTTATAGGAATACTATATAATTTAGGAGAGATTGAGCTAAAAAGTGGAGAAGATGATGAATAGTGTGAATGTATTGAATGTGACTTAAATGAGTTATACGTCCTATCATTTTTTCAAATTCTAATTTAAAATGCTTAAATGATAAAAAAAAATCTAAAATGCTCAAAAAAATGGATATGAATTTATAAGTGAAATGCTTTTGTTCAAATTTAATTTGATATATGTAAAAAAATCTTTTTTCTTATAATATAGTTAAATATTGTGTAATGTGTATGAGATGAATTGCATTATCACCATAACAAATTAAATTTTATGAGTGAAGTTTGTTTTTTAGTGATATCATTATCACTAAAATAAAAATGTATGCTTATGATGATGACATCATAGCCTATTAGACACTTGCATTGGGTTTCTGGGGAGATGTTTCAACAAATTCACAAATTGAGTTCAAAAGCTCCAAGGACCATTAAACAACTCTCCTTTCTCGTTAATATTGTATCTTTCATTTTCACTCTGTCAAATTGAGATTGTCTCATATCAGATAAAATTTATATGATTCTAAATCATTTTTATTTTATTCTTACTATATCAATTTAATATCAATCACATAATTAAATTCTTTTTTTAATATGTTAGTGGGAGAAGTTTCTTGGAGATTAAATTATTCCTAAGCGAATATAAGCCTGTCGGGCATTGATCCTATATAGCCCATTCATATAAAAAAAAGTAGCCAAGCACAGAAGCACTGACCGATTAAAGACTGTTACTCATTCTTCAAAATTTCGAGTCACAAAGGAGGTTTTCAACAATGGACATGCCCGTTTGTAAGTTCTTTGTTTCCTCCCCTCTCTTTCAAAACATCTATTTCATGTTACTTCTGTATTTGTATGCATATATAAAGATACATACTTGTTTGACACTTTGACGTCTCTTTAAAAACATCTGTTAATGTTTGGACGTTTCTTCCTTTTGGGTTTTGTATAATTTGTCAATAGATAGGAAGATAGCAGTAAAAAGATACAGTTTTGGATTTATTGTATGTTTCTTCATTTTTTAATGTAGGCTATAAGTGTATATGTACTACTCCCACTGTCCCAAAAAAAGTTTCCTTATTGACTTGATCCGAGTTTAAGAAAGTGATAATAAAGTGAAATGTACGGATGTGGTAGCCACACAAAACTTTCCAAAAAATGAAAAGAGAACTATTTTTGAGACATCTCAAAAAGGAAAGCGAGAACTGTTTTTTGAGGTGGAAGGAGTATGCTAACTTAGAAATAGTTCAAAACAGGGACGGATTTAAGGGGGGCGGGGGGCGATCACCCCCCTCGGACTTTCAAATTTTTCTACTATATACGTAGTATTTTCATAAAATTTTCATACTTTAATTAGATGTATTTGTTTTCGCCCCCCTTAACTTTTAGTTTTCAAAGTTAATACTCCATATATAGTATTACATAGTGTAATACTTCGTACTTAATTGGGGATTTAAAAGAAGTAAAATCTAAAATAATTTAGATAGTTTAAGACTTAGCTAGGATGCCTATTATATAAAAATTCCTAGCTTTGTAATATTTAATTATATTTATTATATAATTAGTACTAAATTTTGTAAAAGATCAAACGGTATTAAATACCAAACACACTAGTTAAACAGTTTTTAGATCATGTGAAGTGAATCCAAATTATAAATGTTTGTTGACATTAAATTATACAATTCATTTAGTTCTTACTTTCTAAAAGCAATTTATTGCATAAATAATGAACTTTAACTTATTTTAGCATTAATAAAAATATAATATGCACCATATATATGAATTAACAATACTCCCTCCATATTTAAAAGATCTCTACACTATGGATTATTGACACAATATTTAAGGGGAAAATAGTAGTAGGGGTAATGAATAGTGTAGAAAAAGTAAGAGAGAATGTGGAAAAGTAGGAAAGAGTAGATAAAAAGTAGAAATGTAAGGGTATTTGATTATTTTTAAAGAAAAACTTACCAAAAATGGAAAATGTAGCAAACTTTTAAATACATCCAAAAAGGAAAGTGTAGGGAACTTTTAAATACGGAGGGAAAATACGGAGGGAGTTCTATGTATAATATTATTCTAAAAATAATAATCTCATGCATACTATTGTAATATTAAGAAAACTTCTCATGACTCGTGAACACCCTCCTTGGTAGAATGGTAGACAAAAACTACAATTCAAAAATCAATTCTTAATTCACATAAGATTCATGTGGTTAAACAAGACATAAGTTATTTAAAATGCATTGATTGATGTGTACCTTTTAAATTTTTTACCTTCAAATAAATTGAGAAAATGTTATATATCCTTTTATTTTCAAATGAATTTCCTTTGATTTGCAATTTATTATGCTTTAATGTATCCATACTTTTTTCAAGAGCATTTACGATTACAAAATTTAAAGTTATTTTTCCATTGTCTAAACTTAGAATGTAATAGATTTAAACGTCATAGTGTATGTACTAATGAATTCTTTTGAATAAAAGTTCGACGTGGAGCCCTACAATAGTGAAAAATTTCGTCCTGTTGCACTAGCGAAAAAATTTGTCTCGCTACATTGGCGGAAAAAAACTTGCCCCGCTACACTAGCGAAAAAATTTCGCCTCCTACAAAAACAAAAAATTTCGCCCCCCTTGACTCGAAATTCTGGATTCGGCCCTGGTTCAAAAGGATTGTTTCGAAATTCCTTTGGGCTGATTTTTAGTAGAAAGTCTAGTTTTAGTGCACAACATTGAAATTTCACTTAAATATTGAACTAATCTGTTACCCTAATGTCAAAAATTCGTTGGATAGATTATTTTGTCAAATGTCAAGAAACACATTTTAATCACAGAATTTGAAAACTTCATATTTCTTGAAGAATTTATTCGCAAGATTGACTTAGGGGCCGCTAGGTAAGGGTTATTTAGGTGAAATGGTTGCATGTGATGAAGGAAAAATGTTCAGTAACACACTAACACCCATTTCAACCAATAAGTCAAA